TCATAAATTCTGCAGTGACGAGTCACAGCATTGATGATGAATTTAAGGTAACAATCCAACTAAATTTTATGGCAAATAGGTACTCATATGCATTGGTAAGGAAACTACGCGATATGAAAATTATTCATCGTGTGTAGAAAGGTGGAAAAAGTGCAAAATTAAAACATAAACTTTTTGTCAGTTTCTTGCACATTGTTAGATACAGGCTGGCGTGTTGAAGAAGCATATCTGTATTTTAATATTCTGTTTGAAAGACTTTTCATTAAAAAAAATGTCATTTGTTATAATATTCGTGAATTGTTGGCTTGTTTTTAAACATTATTTTTTTATATTAAAACAACCTAAACATTGTTCGAAATAGCAAAAAGAAATTTTATTTTATTTAAGCTATAAATCTAATACATTTGGATTAATCATAAAAATTGAGTTTATGAAGCAATCTTTTAGACCATTCAAGTATGTTATTGTCACAAAAGGTATTCATTTCGAAACTGAATTCTAGGTAACGTTTTTAACAGATCTCTGAAATATTTCGCCATGCTAACTAATTTTTTCTTGTTCTGTCATGGTAAATAAAACTTCTATATGTCAATATAATCGTCAAACATTGTACTTCAAAATTATAGCTTTCTTCTTTCAAAATTCATCTTTATTGTAGAAGAGCATCGTTCAAAATTGGTTGAAAACTCCTAAATACGAATATCTTCAAGTAATACATGGTTTTCTTTTTCAAAACGTGGTCTTTTGGGGAAAAAATGTAAGATTTTAAATTGTGGTTAAAACATGAGTTGACTATGATGAATCTTCCTTATTTCTCATGACTTTGATTTTCGGCGAATTTTGACATCAGAAAAAGGTCACGATTTTCACAAAAGGGAACAAAGCAATGTTTTGTTTTGACTTATTGTGTCTTTCATCATTGGCGAAGCATTTTAAATAGGGTTTTAATCAGGTGATTCAGCTAACTGGATCTTCACAAAATTGCCGATGAACAATAAGCAGAAGACTGTTCTCATATTTCCTACGCAAAAAAATCTCCTGCCGAATTGTGTTTGAAAATAATCAGTTGTCCAAAACTTTGTTTTAAAATACATCCTCAGACGTGCAATTTAAGCGAGTAATCAACTATACGAACAATTTTGATGACAGCTGGAAACCACCAAACCTTTCTTCCGCTATTGGCAAGTTTGAGTGTATTCTCATTGGTAAAACTCACGTTGTCGAGCCCACATGAGTTCTTGCTCACAATGTTTGTCTATGAGTAATGGCTTTTCTAAAAGTCGACTCTATCTTCCACCGCTTTCACGTAATCGGCGTTGAACAGTACTTGGATCTCTATCCACGCCAACTTTCTTTAGAATTTTTGTGCTGTCTCTTGATGTAACATTCAGCTCATGTTTGGCAAAGTTAACAATCTGTACATCTGTTTTCTTCGACGTGACACATGGTCGATCAGTTCTTGATAAATTAGATAGGTCTTCGTTTTGTTGTCATCTGGCAAGCCAATGCCGTACGACTTTTGGTGTACATTCAATATAGTTTGAAATGGCTTTATTTCAAATTTTAGGACTTATTGGATGTAACTTGAACAATACAATTTCATAGCATTGTGAGAGAAAGTAAATATTTTCGAGCTGCAATATTCAAAATTTATGAAACTTTTTAATCTCAATTCGAAACTATGGTTTTATTGGAAAAACTGAAATCCTACAAGGGAAATTCGAACTCATGTAACTAATAACTAACATCCATATTCTCTTAAGACTTTCGTAGTTTAGTAGTTTTTTAAATAATTTACAAAAAACGAGGTCGTAAGCTTTGTAGCACCGGCAAAAATTCCCTTATTAGAAGAAAAGCTCAACATCATTGGTAAAAAATTGACTTGAATACAAAGTATTCTAACTAATAAAATAAATACATAGAAAAAAGTACTGTTCTTTTCTTCATACTGTTAAACAAATAACTTAAAAACGTAATAAAAATAATTTTTTTTTCTTCAATTATCTGTGAAGCCATGATTCACATGACGCTTCTTTCTAAACTATCGTTACTTTTTCCTGTATATTTCTATATTTTATTATTATTTTAAAACTTACATAAATAATCGAAAGATGCTGATATACACATCAAAATATTAACTTGTATTAATGAAAGAAAATTAAAACAAAGTTAATCAATGCATAAATTAATTTTAAAATAAACACAAAGATTATAATTGAAAATAGGATGAAAAGAAAAAATTTAAAGAAAAATACAAGGCAGTTAAACAAAATAGATAGGTTAGCATACCCGATACCCTTTTTTTTAAATTAAAAATCAATGTTAATAAAAAAAAAAAACTGTTTTTCTTTGTACATTGAAAAACATACTAAAATCTATTAATATACAATAAAATTGAAAACTATGAATTTTCTAATACAAAATGCGACAATTAACGTCTTCTATCAATTTGTTATTTCAAGCTGAATTAGTCTTTTGTTTCCAGTAGTTACAGATATTGTCTTCTTTAAATTTGTTATTTAGGATGAACTTGCTTCTTATGAACTTACTTTGCTGCCACCAGCACCAGTTGATGAAGCTTTCGATGCAAGAACTGAAGGTACTCGAGCTATTGATGTTGTATTCGAACGAGATGCTTGTGTCTAAAAATTTCATTAGATTTATAAATATATGTAGACAAATCAATAACTTTCCTATATTGTTCATATTAAAAATGACTAAACTTACATTTTGTGCAGTTTGACTATGATCACCACTGCTTGATTTACTTTTGAGTAAGAATGCATTAATATGAGGTAATACACCACCTAATTTCATAAAGAAAATTCAACTTTGTTGTAAATTTGCTTTTGCCTACCTTGTGGAATCGTTACACCATGAAGTAGCTAATAAAGATCAAATAAAAAGAAAAGCTTTTCGCAGTCATAGTGTAATCAAAAGAAAGAAATATATACTTTCTTAAGTTCTTCATCAATGCTAACAGCCAAAAATATATGTCGTGCATTAATACGTTGTTTTTTATGATCTTTAGCTGCATTACCAGATAATTCAAGAACTTCAGCCGTTAAATATTCGATCTAATTTTATGGGAATATATGAATTAAAGTCAAAGAATTCCCGTGAAATACTCTACATACTACAGCAGCTGTATAAACTGCAGCAGCCATAGTTACACGACTTTTTGGTGTTGATTTTTTTATATAACGATGAAAACGTGGTACCGAAAAGAGAACACCTTTAAAACTATAAATAGATTACGAAAACTAAATATTCAAATCTACCTGCACGAACTGATTTTGATTTTCGTTCACCACCCTTACGAACAGTTCGTGTTGTAGTTGTTGAAGAAGTCATGCCTCTATATATTATTTATAAAATTTTGTTTCTGATAATAATCTATAAGAATTAGAAATATAAAAACTTAAATTCGCTCCTGTTTGTTCAATAGAGTCCCTCTATACATATTAAGTACACACAATCGTCAGATGAAAGCCTTTAGAACGCGAATGTTCATTGACATGTGTATGTGTACTTACTTACTTCCTTGCGGTATTCAACATAGACAAATATATGTATGCAATCAGCAGCATACAAAACAAAAAAGGAAAGCAAAGAAAAAAAAGAAAGCTATGTTATGTGGTTAGTAAAAGGGCCAGAAAGGTGTTTTTTTAAGAAAAAAAAAATATTCAGAAAAGAAAAAAGCAAGTAATATTGACTATCAACATACCTATTTTATTTAATAAATTGAACCAATGCCTCCGTTATAAAACGCGTTTCCTATGGGCCATATTGGTTTTAGCGCCACTAGCGCTGTTATTTTACATTACATGGATATATCTTTAATGCTTTTTCAAAGTGACAAACAGGCAATAAAATATTTTGAACTTGAAAATATAGAAAAAGTGCGACATAAAAATCTGATCTTCTGTAGCTAATAATAATTAAAAATAAGGCGTATAGTTTCATTTTGACAGGAAACTTGCCTTCAATGATATAATGAAGAAGTACATTAAAATCATAATTAAAGAATAGCTATAAAACAATTATTAAAAGACTTCTTTATGAAAAAGCTCATGGGCTGTCATTTTTTTTGTATCTTCCTATGTGCACCTTGAAGTGACAATTGTTTTACTAATCTGATACAAATCATATATATATATAATCTCATCCTTAGTTAACATTCATACTTTAATTCTTGTTCTATTTTGATGGAAAAATATTAATTTAGTTATCTTTTTGATATCTAATGTCGTTCTCATATTGAATGTATCAGATTGGCATAATTGCTATTTCAAATACGTAAATACCGAACCAAATCTATTTTTGACAGTATATTAAATCTACGCAATAACTTAATTGACAAACTCTTTTCCCAAGAACATAAAACGAGTTTATGTTCGTAAGTCATACCTTTTTTCGTTCATGATTCGTATCAAATAAAAATGAACTGTAAGCCTGTGTCGTTCTTATGTTTCGTCATTGAAAACTTTCTAATTCTTTCAATATTTTTCTACCGCATTAATCATAGAAAATACTAACTTGATGAAAAATAAATAGATGATGTTTATTTTTCTACATTATATTCTATTCATTTTTTATGAGGATTCTTATTTTACACAAACATATTCTCTAATCGAGAGACTGAACAAATCTAAACTTATTACCATACCCTTATCGAATATATGACAATGCAAAAAACTTTTTTCTCAAAGTAGATTATCAATAACACATATAAAACCTACTCCGTATCATATAGGATTGAGGAAAATAATGACTATGTCAAAACTAGGTTCAGTTTACTAATACAAGATTATCCTTATAAAGTTGTGTAGATGAAGGAGCTGAGAGAGGGAGAGTAGAAACATGTAGTCGGACACAGAAAATTAATTATCAAATATTTGATACTCTGAACTCTCAAAGTATCATTATTATTAAAAAGATGAAAAAAGCAATGGTACTCATATATTTACTGTCAGGTTACTTTGTAGAAAATGTCGTCTATGATTGTCGATTCTCTTAAACATGCTACTAATGAATGTAATATTTATGGTGGTTTCTTCTTATTTTTTATTGGTATGATTGGTAATATATTAAATATTATCATATTTACATCATTAAAAACATTTCGTGAAACTTCAGCTGCTTTCTATATGAATGTTGCATCAACTGTTAATGTTTTTCAACTTGTTGTTGGTTTATTATCTCGTATACTTATAACTGGTTATGATATTGATCCAACAAAAACTTCATCATTTTTTTGTAAAGCCCGACAATTTACATTGATTACAACTATGTTGATTATTTTTTCTTGTATGTGTTTTGCAACAATTGATCAATTTTTATTATTAACAAATCGTTGGCGTCATCTTTGTAATCTTCAAGTAGCTAGTCGTCTTGTTATAATTGCTTTCATAGTGTGTTTTTTACATGGAATTCCAGTATTGATTTTTCAAGATCTTTATCCACCACTTGGAACTGGTGAAACAACTTGTTCATTTACAAATAACGATTATTCTATTTATTATTCTCGATTTCTTTTTCCTGTTTTACTTGGTATTTTACCTTTAATTGTTCGAATTACTTTTGGTCTTCTTGCTTTTATTAATGTTCGTCAGTTACAAAATCGTCAAGTACCAATTGTTCGATTAGAACGTGATAAACAATTAACAGCAATGGTACTAACAAAAAAAATTATCATTGTTCTTTGTTTTTTTTATTTGTTATTTTTTGCTCTTCTTTTAAGGTATTAGTTGAAGTTGTTTTTGATGTTATTATTACATTACCTTATAGTATTTACAATCATTGGTATTCTAGTACTGTAAAGTTTTCTGATCCAGTTAGTATTGCACAAAATCAACTGATTACATCAATAACACGTCTTATTTTTTATGGAAATTTTTCGGTAATTTAATTCAAATAAAATAAATATTTTAGTTAACAAAGAAAAATAACATTGTATATTTAGATTCCATTCTATATTTATTGTTCTGTATCATCACGTTTTCGTCGACAATTAGTTCATGTTCTTACTAATATTTATTTTAAGTGTTGGCAAGAACACATTAATCGTCGTCAAATAAATCGTGTTGCTCCACGATCAATAGTTGAAGTTAATACTGTGTTATAACCAACTAAATTGTAGCTTACTGAATCGATTAGATATATTCAATGACATTTTGAAGGCTTTGGATATTGTGTAATGTTGTAATCGACTATACAATGTCTTGTGAATTATTATTTATTACAAATAAAGGCACTATTCTCATCATTATGATTATAATTTAATCGTTGTCTTTACTAGAGTATAATTTTTTTTGTTGCAACTATATGTTGAAACTATTTGCGTACGGATCTTTGTGTAATTGTTCGGTTATTCAAAAGTGAAAACAAAACAATTCGATTTAATATTGTATTATTATCTAGGTAGCACGTACTTTTCATGCCTTTGATAATATCGATATTCAACCTTGCATACAAAAACTAATGATAATGGTTTCAAGACGAATATATAGTTTAATAGTAGAGTCCAACGTGATTGTTACTAATTTTTCTTAAAATTTCGTGAATACGACTGAAGTTTGGTAACAGTCGTTAAAATAGCCGCACATCGTGTATTTCTGCTAACTGTTTAAATGTTCTATAATACAATTCACTTCATTTTCTTGCATGGATCTAGTATCTACAACTAATTTTACATGGAATAAGTAACGTACATAAATCACGTATAACATAATCATTATTTATATTTTGAACTATAGGAATGTCAAAATAAATTCAAATTTTATATATATATGATCCTCCTCGTTTTGTTTTCCGAGGTTAACAGGAATGTCTTTGTTGAAAATTAATTATATTAGATTTCTTTTTTGATAATATCTTTCAAGTTGCAGCCGAATTGTCTATTATTCGCTTGATTGGATAATTTTTTTTCTTCCATTTCGCTTCTACTCATAAAATCTTCGCCAATAATGCATATAGTTTAGGTAAAGACGTTATAATAAACTAAAATCAATATTTGTGACTAAAAAGCGAGGTCACACCGGACACTATTCAGTAGACAATAATTATCAGTAATAAGTTTAATCAAATTTTAGAAAAAATCAAATGATAAATAATAAATCGTATGAATTTCTCTAATGTAAACAAAATAATCTTTCAGTTGTTTATATCGAATATATGAAAGATTATTCATTTGTAACAATCATTGAGTTTTGTTGTTCAAATTGATGGTACATGTTTCATTATTTCTAATGATATCTTGGAAAGAATGATTATCCAGATAGAACTTTCACGGCTAAGAAACCGTTTTTTGTTTTCATTATTTCTTTACTGTAAAAGTAGAATATGTGTTATTTCAACAAGAATCCAGCATATGATCAAGTTCTTTGAACACAACTGCAAAGATCATCATACGCTCAATAGAGAGCAAAAACTAAAAATATCTATTAGATGATCGAGTGGAAGAAGACATAACTTAACTACATTGTGAGATAGATGATATATCGTCCATCATATACAGCCAGATTTAAAATAAAGATTTTTTGCTTCAGATCTTCTTTGAAATTGTTTTAGTCTCATTTCAAAAGAACATCAGCCAGAATAAATTATATTTGGACTTTTTCTTCGTCATTTTTTCTTAACATAAATTTTCGTTATTTGAGTACTTACAGAATAATTTCTATTAAAGAATGCATAAGACAATTTTTCTTATCACATGTTTCTATCTCGTATATCATTATTAGTCTTGCCAAGGTCAATGCGATATACTTTGACTACATATTATTATGATAATAACAGAGGTAAATGTTAAAAACAGTGTATAAGATTAATAGTACATGTAGAACTTTTTCTCTTTGATATGTATTTTTGTCATATATAATGACAAGAAGATACTAATACATGGATGATAACTTTAATAAGCATTGGTTAGAAACTAAACATTTTTTTATCTTTCCGACAGATTATCAAAGATAATACATCAAGTACTAAAATTTTTTTTTCTAAAAAAGGAATACTATATTATCAGAGATCTTATGCTTTCTTGTATTCTCACTTTGTTCAAACTTACCATTAATCAAAAGTATTATTAACAGGAGTTTTTTTTTTAATATTTTTCGTTAGCATGATTGATAATAATTACATCAAATATTATTATTTTTACGCCATGAAAAACCTTTTCGACAAGTCTCATATTTTATCTATGACTTTATATAATCGTGAATTCCAAAATTTTCTCTAAATTCTGATGAGGAAAACTTATGATATATTTTCTAACTTTTTAAATAGATCGTTGTCAAATACTATTAAGATTAAAGCTAATCAATCCACTTATTCTCTCACAAGTTTTGGGACATTTTTGGTTGTACTTGTAACTCTGTTTAGAAATATGATAAAACGTTGATGTTTTTCTCAAAAGATCTTGTTTGATGGCAATATAAGGTGCAAAAAAGATTTCAAAATCTAAATACATAGCTTTCTTTTCTTGTAGCATATAAAGCATATTCAATTACATCTTTATTGTCCCTTTGGGACCGACATGGTCGTAGGATTTTCATTGCTAACAATATAAAAAAAAAAAAAATTACATCTTTATGCAAAACATTTATGACGTTGTTTTCGAATACTTATAGCACTAACGATTTTCTTTAAAATTGATTCGAGTGTTGAATGTGTTGTAATTATCCAATTATGCTTGTTGTATAAGATCAATAATAATAGTTTTTTTTTGACAACAAACATCAACAAAATCTTTATTTGATACTTGGACGATACAACGGTCCAACCATATATATATATGAACAGTATTCATTAAGATCAAAAATTAAGAAAGAAACATTATTAGTAATTAGGACTTTGATGTTATTCCTTGACGACAATCATCATAAACTAAGTTTTAGATTAGTCAGTGGGGTCTTCAAATATCTTATGCGCACCAAAAGATCTATCTGGAATGATACTTTGTGGGGAAGACAAGGTCTCAAATTTTCATTCAAACAAAAAATTAGTCATTCGATGGTGATTTCATCACACTTGTTCAACTAGACTCGAAGGTTTAAAAGAAAGTTAATCATCTCATTTTATAGGGCGCTTATTGGTGAAATCGAAAATCTCTTACTATGCTCTAAAAATGAAGAGCAAGATGTTTTCATGACGGAATAAAACTCACATATGCAGTAATTTACTATTGTAAACAATTGCTTTGGGAAACGATGAGACTTGTGTCTGCTAGTATGAGCAAAGAGATCATTCAAGTTAGTTAAACATTATATGATCGACTTTAGAAAAGACTTATTTGCTGACACGAAAAATTGAACCATAAAAACAATGATACTTATTAGTGTTCATTGATGCAGTGCGGCATCTCTTTCCCAACAGTTTTTTCTCAAAGATACACTTACTTGTAAGGATAAAAAAAAGAACATTTTTCTACGCTATCAACATTGCTCTACAAGATAGTTATATTTGTTTCGGCTAACTCTGTGGTTCGAGTTTCCACGCACACGAATGTAAGGTTATATAGACAGGTCGAAAGTCAACTGTCTCGAATTTTGTTAGTAGAAAATAACACGAAGGCACACAACTTCAGTGATACTAGTCTATTAAAATTTTCCAAAATAGCTATGCAGGTTTAGTCTCATGATCCGAATAGAACATTCAATAACGCATCTTTTGCAACAAAAAGTTCAACTTTAGGTATTGCTAAAATATGCTCTGAATCACATTGAACGCCGTTTTACGTGAGACATATACCAGTCGGTAGAACTTAAAATTCTAAATATACTCAACCACTCTAAAAAGATTGTACTTTTTATTTGTTTGATCTTGCTTTGTAGAATGGCTCGAAATCTTAAGCTCTATCAACCGGTATATGCCTTTAGTAAAATGACATTCAAAGCGTCTTTTACTAATATTAGTCAATATTTTATCATGTATCTAAGTAGAATCATTTGCAACACAAATTTTGTTCCATCCCATATACACCAGTTTTATATTATGGTAAACTAAGATGTAATATTACTTTTATAAATCTTGTTTTGCTTTTAAGTAAATAAGAAAAATGTAGTGTCATGAATCAATTACATTAATTTTCTCTTTTTTATTTCTAGTCGATATAGAAGATATTAGATTTTAACAAAAAAATAATAAAAGATTATATATATTGCAGAAAATAATTGTATAAAAAGAAAAGAAGTTTACGTTGTTATATCACCTATCGATGAACCAGATGATGATATTTCAATCGTTCTTGATAAATAATTTCGAAGGGATTCAACAAGAGTAAGTTGAACATTAGCAAGAGAAGTATTAATTAAATATTGAGGAAGCCAACCCTGTAGAAAATTAAAAAAATTATTTTAATCAATTACATAAATAAAAATACTTTACTTTCAAATCTACATTAAGTATCCATGTAAATTTACAACTTGTATCATTATGCTTTTCAATAATATATGCAGTTGGTCCATTTTCACCTCTTTGTGTTTTAAAAAAATAAATCTAATCTAATATTTATATTATCTAACTTACCGAACGCAACTAAAAAAAATTTAAAAAGAACAAATATAATAGGATAATAGTAATTTTCTTCTTACTTTTCTTTAGGAGGCATTTGTGGATACACACATGCTTGTGCTGCTAATATAGCAACATCATCAATAAATCGACGTGTATTTAAATTAACAAAATCTCGTTTAGCAATAATCCCTTGTGCTTGTTCATTAGTCAGTTGATACCTAATAAAGAAAAAAATTCATAAGTCAGATATAATAAATCAATATATTACTGACGTTATATATAAATCATGATGAATAACTTCGAGTATCTATGAAAGAAAAACATATTAGAATAAAAAAGATAAATTGTTAAAAATAATTGTTCTAATTGAATGTTCTCCTCTTTTTTTGGCACTTTTTCACACACTAGAGACTTTTTTTTCGACTCATTTGATAGAGCATTTCCTACTCTACAGAATTACTGTTGTTGTTTTTCAAATAACTTTTTTTTTGTCGGGGTAAAACTTTAAAAAAATATGAACACTTACTCAATCGTCTAACTATGATTTCCCATTTTCTACAGACATCAATTTTTTTTCTGTCAGAGCCAATGCTAAAAGTAAAAACATTTGACATCAATAGATAGAGAACTTCGTCCCCTTTGTTTTCATCACTTTTTCAAGGTTCCTACTGCTGTTGTTCAAAAGGAAAAGGCTTTCAATTAATACTTAATGATATTTTGAGACACATTCTGGAAAACCATGTTTTCCAAAGGCGAGATTTGATCTATGACTAGAGATGTGCGGAATCAAGTTTTTTGGTCTTGGTCCAGGTCTAGAGAAAAACTATTTCACAACTTATTCTATCACATTTAAAACGATTCTTCAATACTCGTTCTTCTAATTTAGTTAGTCGATGGCTAGCACTTTTTTGGCTTAACTCTCTAGAATTATGTTCCGATCCCGGCAAACTTTCTTTTCGTGTTCCAGTCCAGGTAAAGTTTTGTTTGTTGGTACCGCACACCTTTGTCTATGTCACGTTTGTTCTCATGCCACTGGGTGTAAACTTTAGTTCTGAAAAAAACGGCACGATTGCTAAATTGAAGGACAGAAACATTAGGTTATGTTGACTTGAAAAACAACAATAATGTAATATCACCAGAAAATATTTTCACTTAAAAAATTTTTCTTGCAAGTACTTTTTCCAAAATGCTGAAACATGTATCAAAAGATATAGAATTTTGTGGAGCACTTTGTAGTGTATTTGAAATTTTCGCGAAATCTTTATGCAAAAATTTTCATTTTTTTGACCGTCCCACTTAGACGATTGAATAGATGTTCATTTTTTTAAAAATTGTGCGCTGACAAAGAAAAAGCTATTTGGAAAACAAATACAGTCGTTTTGTAAAGTAGCAAATTTTTTATCAAATGAGTCTAAAACAATGTCTCTAATATATTACGAAGTGCTCAGAAAAGAAGAAAACGTTTATCAAGTGCCACCCGCTAATGACTATATACATACTCTACAATCGTTGACAGTTGGACTCCATTTGGACATATCTTCTTGATGTTCAAATAATAATTCTGCAACATCATCACGACATCCTGGAATGATAGACTAAAATAAAATAAAAGATTTATTTATTTATTCTTTATGTTTTTCTTACAGTTAATCGAAAAACTTTGCCCCATTTTGAATAATTTTTAGCAAGAACAATATCAAGTCCATTGCTACTTATAGATTCTTGTAACCAAGAATCATTATCTTTAAATATACGCCAGACTTTGTCAACAACTTCATCTGCTTGTTTTTCATAATCTTCATCATTATCATAATCTTCAATAACCGACACTGGTGTACATAATAATGATTGTGATACATTAGAATCCGAACGAAAATTGCGTAGGGCACCGGTATTTGTTTCTTCTGTATCACTACCTAAAATATATAAAAATAATCTATTATTATTTTTTTTTCTTCCCAAACAAGATTAATATTTTATTCTTTAAATATTTTAATTAAATTCTTGCCCTGTAAAGACTTTTCAAATGAACAAGTTATAGTTGCTGTTGACTGCATTTAATTGTCTTTTGTTTTTGATATTAGTAATAGAAGAAAAAATATATACTGTATTAAAAGTCACACATCTGTTTTAATGGTAATTATTGTCAGCTATCATGGTCTCGCTCTTTCTTTTCTTTTTCTTTCTTTTCGAATAAAGTTAATCATAGATAGTAGTTGAATATACGTCTATCCCCGACTGACTTACCCTCGATGGACGGAACCGGAGAATAAAACGATTGACGATGTTCGTGTGCAAGTGTAATGGAATGATAATTGGAGGATGGAGGGATCGGAGACGTTGATCTACTTGAATTCGATGCAAGCAATGGACGCCGTTCGCTATGATTTACTATGAAGACAAAAACAGATTATCATTCAATTGATTAATTTAATCATTCTATCGCAGCAGTGGACGATATGACTCATCGATGGGGATATCGTTCCCATTTGTGCAGAAATTAATCGCTCCACATAAAGTCATACTCGCTAAGAAGAAATGGAAAAAATATATATATATATATATATATATATCACTTAGTATTCTTAAACGTATAATTTCTTCGGGCAGAAATCATTCTTTATACAGTGAAATGCTTTGAACAAGCAGAAAGAGAAAACAATATATATATATATACTTCATTTCTCCTTGCTTATCATACTCTTCTACTTGAGAAAAGAGAAATGGTTCATCCATTTTCCTTACAAAATTTTCCATTTCTACTGTATAAAATTGGTTTCTGCTACAAATTCTCCTAAAGATGAAAAATAATCTTATTCATCTCTGCTTACATAATGAATACATTTTATGCATTTCTCCTTGTGTATAATACATTTGTGTTAGGGAAAAGAGAAACGTTCCATGCATTTCTACTAGAAACTTTGCCCTTTACTGCTATATGTTGCTCTGTTTTCCTGTATAAAAGCGTTTCTGCTTGACTTTGTGTGGGGTGAAGGATTTCTGCTGAAATGGGAACGATTTCTTGGTTTTAGGAGATATCGTCCAGGTCTCTTCTATCGTTGTTTTTTGTCATACATGCTTCTCGTAAACGACGTTCGTGAGGAATAACACGATAACTAAATGAACAGGAAAAATAATGTATGTATTATAACAAATGAAACATACTCAAAAAACCAGATTTCTACCCATGCCAAAATAAATGATACAATCAAAATTCCATAATCAGTAAAACCTTTATCTGTTTTGGAAATCTATTTAAAAGAAGTAGATTATATATACGGAGTTTTTGTTATTGACTTACGGTAAATACACATGTTTTAGCAATGATAAAACCAGTTGAACCAAGTGTTGTGAACTAAATTAAAATGATGAATACAAAGCAATAATTTTCTCAATTTTATATTCATTTATTTAGTTCAATTAGTAACAAGGGGAAGGCTTCAAATATGACTACCAAATTGAAGTGATATTATGTCCATAAGTAGGTCCCGACGAGATCAGTAGAAGCCTATAACAATCTGTCCCCATGGGCTATCCTTTTCAAGTTATTACACTTTTACTAAATTTTTTTATCTCTGGCAAAGTATCAATGCAAAAATAGAATTACGTAAGTTCAGTCTTAACTCTTGCCTACAAGTAAAAATCGCGTAGACAATAGAACGTCCTGAAAAATTTAGTCTAAAATGATCTGTTATTCTTGAGATATCAAATACTGCAAGCCCTAGATTTTCTTACCTTTTCTTAGAACACATGGTTCTGTTTGAATATCCAGTATCTCAAGAATAACATATCTATTTAGACTGAAATTATTAGGACATTATAATGCCGACGAGACTTACGTACGGACAAAATTTCTCGCTGAGCTGAGATTTCATAATGCGATTTTTTTCACAAATACATCGCCAGAAATAAAAACTTTTGTAAAATTGTAATAACTTGGAAATGACAGTTTATGGCAATGAGCTTTTATAGGCTTCTACTAGACTTGTCGCGGCCTTCTTATAGGTAAAATATCAGTTCGTTTGACAAATACATACTCGAGTACTTTCCCTCGTTAGGTAAATAAAAACCCTTCTTTTTGGAAAATTCTTGTTCAACTAAAACGGCTACGTGACATCTTGTATTTTATGATCAGCTCTTTTCTTTTGAACATAAGAAATATTATCCTTTCTAATTTCTTTAATACGCTTACTTACTTACAGCTACGAAAATCCAGTGTGACCATTTTAGTATTGCGTATGATATCATTAATAAAATAAAACGAAAAGCTGATAAACCCTATAGAAAATAATAATTGATCTATTGATAGAGATAATTGTTTGATTTTTTTTTTGTTAACTTACAACAACGTCAAATAAAGATGTTTTAATAGAATATTTAATAACGTCATTAATAAAAGCTTGATCAATCGTTATATTTTTAATCTAAGTATTTAAAATTAATATTAAACATACGAAATATATTGTAACAAACTTGATTATAGATAATCCATAGAAGTACCATAAATATAACATCGAATGTGACGATTAGTAAAAATGTACGACGTACTTGAAACATTCGTTTTTTTGTGACTGCTGATTGTTGATTTGATGAGGCATTTAATGAAACACTTGTTGATGCATTGGCTGTTTGACTGTACAAAAAATAATAGAAATAAAAACAAAAAAAAATAATAGAATCAAACATTCACATACGCTTGATATAAATTTTCTAATTGTCCATTTACTTGATTTAATGTGTGAGATCTACAGTTAAAAAACGAAAAAGAATTAATTTTTTTAATTCCAAATTAAACGAATTTAATTTTTTTTGTGGTAGCAGCAATCAATCTTTTTAATAACATACACTGATGTATCCGAATTAAGACTGGTATGTCCGTTCATCATTATAATGTTTGTCTATAGCAAAAGAAAAACATGCAACATGCGATTATCATATCACCTGCATGACGTCATTGTTACTTTCATCAACAAAAAATAGAAAAAAAAACAAACATAAAAGAAAATATTTATTTATAAAATTTCTATATAAAAGATCCATGTTCTTGTGCAAAATTACTCATTAAATGATAAATTAGAAAATTTTGTTTTGTATATAATATATGTCTATTATGATTTCTTTGCTGAAATTCATTATTATTATTTAATGAATTTGTTAACGTAGATGATAACGATGTTGATGATGACGTTAATGGTCGATCAATTTTATTTGATTGTTTATTTGATGATGAAAATGGAAAAATTGAATTTTTAAAATTTTTATTATTTGTTGAATTTAATAATCTTGTATGATCAACATTTTTATTATCTTTAACATTTATTTCAAGTGTTGATTGTGCTTCTGTTTCAATAGTAAATGTCATTTGTTGATATGAAAATGAATATTCTTGTGATTTTGTTGCACGATTTATTAAATGTACACCAACATCATTAACACATATAAATACACTGGTACGACGACCATGATATTCATGCTCACCTAGAAAATTAAATTTTGAGATTCAAAAGAGAAAAGTTAACAGAAAATTTATTTCAATATGTATTACCCGTAAAAAATGATGAACCGTAACTAGTTAAATTTTGAGCTAAATTAAGAAATTGCATTTTTAAATAAAGTGATAATTGTGGACGATTTTGCATTGTTTGATCATCAATAAAAACTTCTTTATAACGTTTAAGAATTGTTCGTCGCCAATAAGCAACACCGGCACGCTTTAATTTTTCAGCTGGTATTAATAAGGTCAAATTATTAGGATCATTATGAAAAAAATGTTCCCATAATTTATCATCTAATTGTTTTTCATTAATTCCCATCATTAAAACAGCAAATTCAATAGCATCTTCATCTGTACATGGATAATTAGCAAGTAAATAATTTTGATATGCTTCAAGAAATAATAAATGTATAACATGTGGTATACGAAGACGTTGTTCAAATTCAATTTTAAGTAACGTATCACGTGACCACCATAATTGTGCATCTTCAGAATTCGTATTTAAAGTTGGAGACGATGAAAATGATGGATTTCGAAGTGATGATTCATTTGGTATAGTTGTTAATTCACTTGCATAACGTTTCCAATTTAATAAAAATTGTACAGGTTTATGATCAGGATTTAATTGAATACGAACACTTTTAGAACAGATCCATATACCAAATACATGTGAGACTTCATCTGGTAAACGTAAACGTATCATCATTTGTGCATGTAATTGACGAACAGTAGTTTCAGCTGGACCTGAAACAAGATCAAGTTCAATAGTACTACCATCGGCAAGACAAATTTTGATTTTTTCAACCTAAAGTTATTCAAAAACAAAGAAATTTGAGAAGAATATATCTTTTGATTTAGTTACAGGTTTTTGAAGAAATTTTTCAATTAATTCTGTACATATTTGCCAATCACGATTTGGATTTTGTTTACAAAAATCAAGTGCTGTTTTTCCATCTTTATTTTTTGCATGCTAAACAACAAACAAATACTTGAGATTTTTTATAATTTTACTTTTAATTCATACCACATTAATATCAGGACAATCAAGTAGTATTCGAGCAACTTCAGCTCGACCACCTACAGCTGCTAAATGTAATGGACTCATATGTGAATTATCAACTGCATTAACTGAAAATCTTTTTGAACGAAGTAATAATTCAACAATTCTATGATGACCATGCCTAGAATAAAATTAGTGAAATTCAATTAAAAAAATCAATTTTTATCTACCAAGCAGCGTGATGAATTGGTGACCATCGATTCATATCATGTTCAAGTGTAACAGGAGAAAATTCTTGTAATAATTTTCCTACAACTTCAATTTGACCATTTTGACATGCCAAATGTAAAGGATATTCTTCAAGACTATTATTACGATTTCTAGATAAACAATAAATATAAACATTTCTATTCAATGAAATTATTCAAAAATAAAAACCTTTTAGAATTTCGTGAACTATTTGTTGATCCTAATCCACGATTATTTTGGCGTTCACTATTTGATGATGTTTTTTTATGAGCAACTTTAGACGATTGTACCGAAACAGAATCAAGCTAGAATAGGTCGTAAATTTTAGTTTTTTCAATCTTTTTTATTTATTTATTTATATAGATAAATACATGAGTAATACAAAGTGCATCATTTGATGCAAATAAATCATCGAAGAGAATATTAGATATGATTATATCACAACGTTCATTTTCATCAATTTCATCAAATAATCTATTTCTTGTATCGTCTATTGATGATAATGTCTAGCTAAAGAAAAAATCATGTTTGAAAGCTGTTCTATTTAATTAAGCAAAAAATGATACCTCTGATTTACGCATTTATATTAATAATTGTTTTTTAAAAAAGAGAGTATCAATCTTAAACAAAATAAAATTGTTTAAATGAATATGCCTTACAAAGATGATCAATTAAAACTAGATTATTAAGCCATAAATGCGTACTTATTCTTGCTTTAAAAAAAAACAAAGCTTATTAAGAACCTGATAATAAATAAAATGTAATTGCATATGTCTTTCAAATTTCTTAAGTATTATCAACTAAATAACTAACATAAAAAAAAAGTAAGTTGAACTATCACTCAAGGAAGATGATAGAAAGAAGCATATTATTATTCTTGTTTTTTCTTTCAAGTGAAAGAGCTTTCGTCGATTACATAAACACATCAAGAACAAACAAATCCAAAAATAAAATTTATGTTCATTCTCTCTTCTTGTCACTTATATTATAAGCACCATCAACAGTTGTATCGTCAGGTGGATATACACATGGTTTTTCTCCTGGTTTTAAAAGATGTCCAACAAGATCATATTTTTCTTGAAAAATAAAATAAATAAACAAAAGATTATTGTTATTTTTTCATATATTTATCAATAAAATATTACCTCGAAAATCTTCATGCCAACTTCTAGCTGTAGCTCGTTCCTTATCAGTAATATCAGAAAGATCATCATATTCGTTTGAAAATAATGATGGATCCAATTGCATTTTAGATAATGCTCGTGTAGCATCACGCCCAGCAAATAATGAATATGATCCACCTGTATTCATAACAAAATTTTGATAGACAAAGAAAAAGCTTAATTATAAAACAAAACGAAAAGGCCATGCTCTTTTGTAGGAATTAAGACAAAAGATAGTCATAATAAAGTTTACATTCTATCATATCTATCTCCAATATCTTGTTAATTACTTTTCTTGTCGAAGTGTTTCTTGTGAAAAAATGTTTTCAACTAATCAAACATTTTTTAATTCGAACTTTGAGCATAACGAAGACTTCATAATGAAATATGAAAAAAAAACGCAAAAGTATGAATCCTTTTAGGTTTTGGGTCCAAAGTTAAATGCATTTTATTAGAATTTTAGTCAATGGCATGGAATATATCAACATATCGACGACGTTATTTCAGCCTAAGATTTTTCCTGTAAATAGGTTTATTTGTTAGTACAATGTTTTTTTCCAAGATATGAAAGCTTCAAAAATCACTCATATTCCATGAAAGATGCTAGAATTTTCTGTTTTTTTCAAACTTTAATATCTCGAGAAGAAAAAATTCTTTTGAGCTGAAATTCTTAGGACTTCCTCTGATAATTAGATCTGTCTGTAGACAAAATCTCAGATCGAAATAACGTCATTTGAGTTGTTGATATATACCATACTACAGACTAAAATTTTAGTAAAATGCCTGTAACTCTAAACAGAGGTTTAAGAAGACTTATCCTTTGAAGATTTTTCATACCTCACTGGGGTCTACCTTATGTATAGAGTTCGAATTCAAAAACAATTGATTAGTTGAAGACGCTTCCTCCTTAGAGTATCATTGTTCTCATAGACTGATCAATTACATACGAGTTTTTCATTGTATACTAAGATTTTACAGTAGTTACAAATAATTAGTCCTGCTACTAAGTAAAGTGTATATAAACTTCAATTCTTTTGCCTGATATTTTGACTATGAATAGAGCTGAGTAATCCATGATCGCAAGTAACAATTTGAGGCCGATAGGTCTTCGTGCCGAGAATTTATGATGAAAACATTGTTTTTTTCCTGAGATCCAAAAAAAGCTCTTTTGACACTTCGGGTTTTTCCACTATTTAAATACGATAACTTCCATTTTCTTCTTAACAAATAAAGACTTGCACGTCTATATTATATTAAAAATAGGATATTCCAGTTTTATGTAATCTCGAGGCGTAGGGGAAGCCTCTATTGTCAATATCGGTCACTTCTCGGCGAGATTCTCATTAGCTCTCATGTGGAAATTACCCAACAAATACTTCATAAATCAGGCAAACTAAAACTGCTTGACATGAAATTTTTATATTGCTTAATGAAAAACATCTATGTTTACCTTCTAGCTCTTTCGCATATAGGCCGAATAATTAATCCTCGTAGTCATAGTGTAACATGCTCTAATTGCGGTCAAACTATAAGATTAAAGGATTAAAGTCTAGATATTTTCTATCGGTATTGGGACTTTTTGCTATTACTATACTTCCGTGTCCTTGTCATGAAGGTTTTCCATTAGAGAAAAATTCAAATCTTAATTGAATATTCTTTAAAAACAATTCAATCTACCTATTCCATATAGATCACTTCGTTGACTAACATCAAATATATCTCCATAAACAACTGTAAGGATTCTTCCATTTGATTCAATACCGTTATAACCACGTAATTCTGATACTGTTAAATCACATTGAGACATTTTTGGTAATTGTACCGGTGTTTGTTTTCGACTAGCATTGTTTGATGATTTGCGTTTTAATAAAAATAATTTAACAAGTAAACATATAATCAAAATAGCAAGAACAAGATTTATTGGACTTGACCATATATCATATAAAAGACGTTGAAGTAAAACAATTAATTTTCTAATTAATGTCGAATCATTTTTTATTGTGTATTTTGATTCCGAGTCCATTATTTATCTAATATCTAAATCTACACATATATCAAAATAAAAAAGATGCCTTACAAAAAGAAAAAGGGAACAATGCAATTGAGTAAAGACATTTAAAAAAAAAAACAACAAAAGAAAATAAATCTAATGAAGGTGATATTAACCAATCAGATGATTGACGTAACGGATTGGTTAAAAAATATTCCATTAATTTGTTAGATGGAAACTCGAATTGAAAAGTTGTTTGAATAAAAAAATGATTTTACATTCATTATAGATAAAATGACATTGATAACATCTTGTTTGATACGTGCTCGTTTAGCATGTCGATCATTCTATCGATTTTATGCAAATTCAGTTCCTCGTACTATTGATGTACATTCAATACCTCAAGAACCGACTGAACCAAAAGTTGAACAACCATTTCGAACATCGATTGATGATCCTGTATGAATACAAAAACAAAACACAAGAAATTAATTTTTTGAAATTTTTTTATTTTTTATTTTTAAGCTTTTACATACGGAAAAAGATTTAGGTTTATTTTATACAGTAAATCCTGATGATTTAAAAAAAATTAGTCCATTTGGTAAAGCACTTCCATTACAATTTCGAGAAGAAGTAAAATAAATCCTTTTTGTTTACATTTCAATTTACAAAAGAGTGGTTGTTTTGTAGTGTGAAGCATTTAATGAAACAGCTATTATGATTCGACAACCATCACTTGATATTATTAAATTAATGAAACAAATTAATTGGAATTTACCTCCATTAAAAGTAGTACTTTGTAAGTGTTTTATTTTTTAAGATTATTTAATGTTTTTTTGTGCTTAAGTTCCTGCTGAAGTTGGTGTTGGAATGAGTTTATGTCTATTTCATGTTTTACATTATGGTTTTCGTAAGAAAATGTTACTTGTTAATACGCCAACAGGTAGCTGAATTTACTTTTTGTATTTTCGAAAAAGAAAATATTTTTTTGTTTGTATTTATAGCCGCTGAAGTTCTTAAATTAGCATTAGATGCAACACCATCACCAAATAATGAACAAATGTGGGATACACCTTCAGCAGCTAGTACTTGGCTTAAAACATTTGCAATTAATAATCAAGAAATACTCAAAGAAACAGATGTAAGATGAAGACAATTTGAAATTCGAGCCAATTTTTTTTGTTATAGTCGAATTACCTTTTTTGACATATTCAGACGGTGTTTTGGTAGTCGGTATTGAACAGTATACTTGATACTCAAAACTAATTTTCGTCGAATTTCTACCTTACACTCCTTCACTGTTACTTTGGAATAATCTGACATGCGCTGCTCGTAACGAGGGAAGTCCCCCAACTGATAAGTTGCCTTTGAATCAAGACTATCTCCATTATGTAGCATTGAATGAGCTATGAGTACGCTAAAAAGAACTCATATCCTTAGCTGATTGCTGCGAAGAAACAGCACTTTTATGATAGTTTTTAAACAAATATCAGGATCCCCTCGAAAACACCAGGAAACTGATTCTAAAATTTCGACTTGAAGCTTTATATAGAAATAAACCTTAATGAAAGTAGTTTGTTGTAAATGTTTCAGATCTTGTCGCTGTTCCTATCCTAAGATACAACTATAGTAATAGTGTATCTTGTACATTGCTTACATAAGCAGGTAGATTTAATGTTCTTATTTTGGATAGAAGCAAATCAACAGATCTGACACTTTCACAGTAAACTATCCTTGTTAAAGCCTGTCTCTATGCAAATTTTCAAGTCGAAATTCGAAAATCAGTTTTTCTGAACTATGGCATTCATTAAAAGAATACCGTAAAAGTGAAGTATTTCCGCAGCAATAAGCAAAAGACACTAATTCTTTTCAGAGTATTCATATCTCATTTGAGTCTACATAATGCATACAGCCTCGAATCAAAAGCAATTTGTTAGTTGGAGAGCGTTCTTCGAAAAGTAACAATAAAAGGGTGTAAGGACCAGTTTTGGATGAAAACTAATTTCGAGTATCAAATATACTGTTCGATGCAAACTACAAGAACATCGTCTGAATATATCAAAAAAGATAATTCTACGAACTCTGTTTAGTCGTGACAAAGACGTTTTTTCTTAAACTTCGAATCGCCTGTCCCTTAAATATTTATATTTAATTTAATCTAGTTTCGTACAAAATTTACTTATACATGGAGTGCTCGAGAATCAACACCAGCTGGAACACATCTTCTTGATCTTATTGGTTATGTAAGTTAATTAGTAATATAATTCATAAACGGTTAAATTTATTATTTAGGCAACTGATCGAATAAAATATGCATCAGAATGTGTAGGTGCTATTGTTAAAGAAGTTAAAGCTCAAGTGAGAGAAAAAAAGTAAATTAATAGCCAAAAAAGAAATCAAAACAAAAAAATACTTTCATTTTCTTTTTTATAATTAGTATCCAAACATTAGTAACATTTGATACTATAAATAGTTATTTTGGACCAACATGGATTGTTAAACCTGATAGATCAATTGTATGAAATATGTTTTTTTTTTCTTCGATTCTTAAATATAGTTTATATTAAAGGTAAAACCAAATGAAGTAACAATGGTAAAAGCATTACAAGAACTATTATTACCTGATTGGAATAATGCTTTTATTGTTGTTACTATTGGACCAAAAGGTGTTATAATACCTAAAGTACGTGAAAAGCGTAATTGGCTTGTTAAACATGGACATTTTCGTACAGAACATCGTTTACCAGGTGTTCTTATGTATGATGGACCAATGACTGTTAAATCACTATTAGGAACTGAAGTAAGTAGATTTTGATTGTTTAGAGAAAAAAAAACGAAAAGCTAGAAATAGTAATTGATGTTTTTCGTTTGTTTTTCACTAGGGTATTGAAGCACTTGAGCCATTTGTACCAATTCAAGTACAAAAATATAGTGAAGATGAATTTTATAATCAATATAGATATTATATTGATCATAATTGGATACAAAATTATCACGGTCGAGAAGAAGAAGGTCGAAAAGAAATACTATTTTTTACAGCCAGAAATCCATATGAAATGGCTAAATTTGTTGGTTCTCGTTGATAAAATGTAAATATCAAACGATAAGATGTTTAATTAATAGGAATTCTTAACATCTTCAAATAAAGATAGATTCAATATAGGAATCCGTACATATTTACTTTTTGTTCTATATCAGATCTATAACTTGGAAGTCTTCTTAATCAAAGTATTGCAGAGTTGTTATTGGAATAACGTCAAAATTTCAAACATTTTCTTGTCATAAATGACAAGATTAACAAGTCTAACTGATTATCAATTTTAGTTACATCAATTTATATGTATATTTCTAGTATTCAATAAAAAGCTAATAGATATTTTAGTTGTTAAAATCTTACATATTTTATCATGCGCTTCGTAAGATCCTGAACCGAAATTAGTCGATACTCGGCAGATATTTTCACAGTCATAGTACAATTTTATAACTTTTATTTTATATGACAAAATATATTATTAGTTTCTTCCATAAACAGCAACGAAAAAAAAAGCGATCATCTTAAATTTCATCAAAAAGCAAGCCATTCAGGATTTACTTGCTGTCTATCTGTTTCGAAAATACAATCAATTTCGCTAAGTACTCATTTGTTCGGTGCTGATGATGCTGGAATGAAATGCAGTGCTGGTACTAAATATCACACTTATGGATACATAATGAATACATTTTCTACATTACGATGATACATGTTTACATTTTTGATAATTCATTTCCCTTTTCATGTGTTCAATTACTTCGTCATATGGTTCATCATGATCTGTAGATGATTTTCCACTTCTGCGACTTGTTCTCAAGTACAATAGATTGCTCAATCATGATTGAACCGATCTTCACTCCTATGCTTTTATATAGATAAGCAGTTTGAAAAAGTAAAATTATTTTGAAACTTCGAGATCACATCAATTTTCTGGTTGAGTTCAGATCTGATTTCATGCCTAGACTCATGCTCCGAGTCAGATCGACTATCGAACATCCGACCCGGGTGTAAGACACTACTTCATATATATATATGTATTCAGAATGTTCTAAAAGTCATTTTGGTAATTACAAAAGTTGATTATAGTTTGTTAGAACCTGTTTATATAAACTATATGCTCCATTGACGTAAGTTCTATGAGAAAAAGTGACAAGAGAGTATTGAAGCAAAATGGAAGAAAACAAAATTTATTTAGTCAAGCGAATAATGGACAATTTAGCTGCAATTTGAAAGATGTTGTCAATGGGAAATCTAATATAATAATTAATTTTCAACGAACATATTACTGTTAAGCTCTGGAAACAAAATGACAAAGGTCATACATCTAAAGTTTGACACTATTTTAGCATTGTTACTGTTCAAAACATCAACTATGATTGTATTATACGAGATTTACATACATCACTTGTTGCATAAAAAAGTTGTTGCGAATACTAGATCTATAAAAGAAAACAAATTCATTTGTTTTATGGAACATCTAAGTAAAACGACAAGGTGGAAAAAATCTGTCGGAATTCGGAAATTCATAGAAGCTCGAATCCACTATTTCTTTCAATAGGATCTCACATTTTCAATAAAATTTTATTATCAAATTCTAACCTGAAATTTAAACCAGACAAAGGTCACATTTTGATCACCACATATAGAAATTTTCATGATCGTTGTAAATAGTCTCTTCCAGATGTAAAGTTTTGAAAACCTAGTGCTTTCTCATCAATTTCAAGTAAATTTTTACAATTTTAATCGAAATGAATCGCTTATAACTATCAACAGAAAAAATAATTGGCTGGTTAGATTATAACACGATGAATATGTTCAAATTCTTCATTCGGTGACTATTAGGACATCATCCTGTACATAGAAATTCAATTCACATTAATATACTTCTGTTTTATAAAACTAGAAATAAAAATAGTATAATTCACTTGATATCCAATCATGCTTGTTTATTATAAAATAAAACATTCAAAGAAACAAGATGCGTAATCTTGCAAGATTAACAATACTCATATAAAAAGAAAGACTAGTTTAAAAAAGCCAACAGACGAATTTCAATCAAACATTCATCGGAAATGTATCTGGCACATGTTCTTTTTCTGCTTGTGCCCATATAGGATGGATTTCTAATGGTCTTAAAGCACGTGTCATTTCTACGTGAATAACACAATCGAATTGTGTTGAAAGACTTGCATTAAAATAATGTGATTGTCGTTCGGTATGTGGACGGTAAATAACACCGATAGCATGTTCTAATCGTTTTTTATGTAATTTATTGCGTAATTCTTTTGAAAATTCAACAGATGGATTATTCGAACGAAAGATAAGAAAATATTGGCCATCATAAAACATTGTTGAATTTTTTATAAGAGCATCATGTAACAGAAATTCAATACTTTCATTTAATGATGGTCGTACATGTTTAAAATCTGGACACATATCCCAATTATCAGTTGCCGTAACAGTTCCAGTATATGTTGTAAATCCAATATTATAAGTATTTTCTATACCGAAACGTTCACGAACTAATTGACCAATGTTAATTTTACGTGCTCGATTCGATTCCGTTTCACGAGCATCACCAACATGAGAATTATGTGCCTAAAAGAGTATAAAAATTGGTAAAATTTTTTCTTGTCTAGTAGTATTTTCTTTTCAATAAATTCAAAAAAAACAAAACATTCTAATTACCCAAACAACAGCTTTGGTTCCAGGTCCATTATGGTTAAGTAAATCTTGTAAACAATCACACATATGTGTATCACGAATATTCCATGTTATTTGACCACCTTCAAACATATGTCGATAATATTTTTCAGCTTCACGAACTATTTTTGCATTTTCCATAGCATAAAAACTTTCATGAACTTCCATATTATCTGTTTTATCTTCGGCTATGAGTTTAGCATGTTGTTCTAACATTTTTGTTAATACTTTAATAGCTTCTTTTTCACAAGTTGAACTCAGATTTGTTGCTGCACAAACACCATATTCATGTTCATCAGTATATTTTTCAAAACATCCATAATTTTTACGAGCTATTTTTACTAGATCTATTTATTGGAATAATACACATAGAAATGCATTCAAAAACAGAAATTCAACAAACCAGGTGCATTTTTTTCTAAGTATTTTATAACTTCTTCACGTGATGATTGTAAACTATATAAATCAATGCCGAAAAAGCCTGCTTTTTTCTGTTGATCATTTATTTGATCGTTGTATTTTCGAAGCCATGTTATAAAGTCTACTACAACGTTATTTCGCCTAGATATGGATAATATTTTAAATTGTATTGAAAATAAACGAAAAAGAGAATAACAAACCACATCCATGAGGGAAATCGTGTAAAATCTTTTAAAGCATCATCCGCATCTTTAATTGTTGATAAAGAAATTCCTTTAACCCATCGATTAACTCTATAAGCTGGTAGCCAATCAGCTTCACAAGCAACGATTGTAAAACCCATTGTAATTGGAATTAGTAGTTATCTATATAATCTTATATTAAACAAAATTGTTTATACTTTTTCTTGAATTAATCGTTTTGTTATTTCGGCTCTATGAAAATAAAATTCATGTGAACCTAAATATCTCGAAAAAATGACAATTATCGTTTTCTTTTTTTTTCCTCTATTTTCTAAATATACCATGAGATGCTTCACCAATCATGACAACTTGAGCATCACCTACAGCAGACAATATCAGATCATAATCTGCGGGTGTATGAGAACGTAAGCGTTGTGCATATTCTTGAATTAATTGTAAAACTTTTGGATTTGATTTTGATGATGTTGTCATGGTTGTTATACGAAAACTAGATATATCTAAGAACGCAAAGCCAAATCTATCCTTAGTGAATTGTCGCTAGTCTGTATGAGATATCAATGTTGAATATATCAGTTAGCGCTTAAATTTGATTGGTTTTCCGTGATGTTCCTTTTTCTGAAACGAACGAACAAACGATTTTCTCAATCATTGTTTATTTGTCCTTATTGCTGTCAACTTTTTCTTTTTTTTCTTCCTATGCTTGATCAGTTGTCAATGGCCTTGAGATATCTGTTGTGAAACTTTATTTTTTTTTTGTTCATGTTTTCCTAAATGAAATTTTTATGTAATCCATTTACTTACAATCATTACTGTAGTTCTCTTACTGAATAATGTTAATGAGAAACACTTTTTATTTACATTCATGATTACTTTTATATTCTCACAGTATGATTGACGTTGATAGAATCGATTCCTGCTGGCACTGTCTAGAAATAGACTTTTGCGTATGAAATATTTTCTGTTGTTTTGAAGGTCAACACCCTACTTCTTTTTTTTTGAGATTTAATAATTTAAATGCCGTCAGGCACAATTGAACTGAAGTATATCTTTTCCTTTGTTTTTTTTGTTCTATGAAATGTCACTAATGTAAATAGAATGATGATTGTACATAAACAAATGGAAACAATCGAGCAAAACATACAATGACTGTCCGACATAAAATGCATAGAATCAGTTCTCATGTTGATTATAGTAGAAAAGAAAATGTCATTGATATCAGACTATTGATATCATACGAACGCCTTCTTTTTTGTGTCTTGCTGTTTGTATATCAAATTGATTTAAGTGTTCTCTTTCTTTATATATTTTAGATGCGAAAACATCGATGTATTACTTTATTTTCTTTCCATTTTGCATCTACTTAACCAACATATTTATCATTGTCCATTTGCTTTTTGTGTTCCGGTGGTGTGCGTGTCGTTGTCTTGTTTACCTTCCGTTTTTATGTCCGATGCGACGACACCTATCAAAGGTCCTTCGACCGTCGATTGTGAAGTCCTAACGGGTAAGAATCAAAGTACTTTTTATTTTTATTTTGGTAATAATTACCCAAATAAAACTATGTCAGTCAAGGAAAGAAAAAGAAAAGAATTTTCCTAATTAATGTAAGCTTAATCTTTCTTATAGTGCAACCGAAATCGATTCTTTTTGTTATATTTTGCGTAATAGAAGTATGCATATATATATATCCTGTCAATATCTATTGTATATAATATCACAGTACAAGGATATTATATTTGCATATTCTCCTTTTCATCATATTCATCGATCGAAAAAGAAAACAAAGAAAATGCTCTTCGATCTAATGTTCATTACCCTCATCTCTTTCTTTTTCTTCTCACAGATTTATTATTAGTTGATTTAAATATTTTAATATACAGTCATATTACAATAATGATGTCGATATAAGCGTTTTCTATTTTTTTAAATCGTTACATACACTTGACTTTTGTCTTTGTTCAATTCTCTTTAAGTACAATTCTTTTCTTTTTCTTTTGAACATTTCATACATACAATGGATGAGAATAAGTTATTGTAATCATAAACATAATCTTTCCTCTATTTTCTTTTTTGATATAAATTGAAAATAACGAGAGATCGATTGATTATTTTTGATGATGATTGGTAAATATGATTTACTAGAATGATTATAATTAAAATACATTCGTTTTTTATTTCTTTTTTTTTTTCTTTTATTAATTCTATTTAGACATTCATACACAATCAAATTTAGCCGAAGTTGAAGTCGTTAGTCTTGTTCAAGAATTAATTCCTCATTATCGTTTACGTGCTGATACTGAGTTTGCTTGTTCAAACGAAGATTTTATTCAAACACCGCGTATTGACGGTTCTGAATTTGAATCTTTGACCAATACGCAAATTCGTGCTCTTTTAAATTATTACGGTAAGAAATAGAGAAAAAAAGCGAAAAAATGTATTTATTTTTGCTTATGCTTAATGATTCGAATAAAAATTATAAAAAAAACCTTGCTTATAGTTATTCAGTTTTTGCATCGAAAAAATATTTATGGTAATGTTATGTTTAACCTAGATGTTTTTGCATGTTTAGTTTTAGTTTGTAAATAGAATAGTTAACAAAAGAATAAATTTCTTTTTTTATCGTTTAGTCTTATCTACTGATCGAATAAGTCAAATGACAAAAACATATCATGATATCCATGCTGTAACTCGCATGCTTGAAGATCGCGAGAATGATTTACAAACAGCTGTTAGTTTAGGTTACACATTACTTGAAAGTAATGATTCATTACGTAATCAGGTTTCTTTACTTGAACATGATATTGAACAAACAACAGAAATTGTTAAACAACTTAAACATGATTTACTTCTTAAAGAACGTCTTATTCGATTTTATTATGATATGGACCTTGATATATCACCAAGTGAATCAAAGTAAAAAAAGAAGAAAGATTTAAATAGCTTAAAATCAAGTTGATCTTTATTAATTTAGACAAATAGACTCTCAACATTACGAACAAAAGATTCGTAATCTTGAATATGAAAATCGAGAATTACGTGCTGAAGTAAATGATAAAACATTATTGATTGATTGATTTTATTTGTTGATTTTTTTAAAATAGAGTGTGCAGTTAAAACTTGAATCTGAAAATTTGGAACATCAGGAACAAGCCGTTGTTGATCATTTTGCTCATGCTTTAGGTAAATTAATTTAGAATTATTAAGAAAAAGAGAATAGCTTTGGTTTACATTATTTTAGCCAATGCAAATTCCGAAATTGCAAATTTACAAGAAGAAATTTGTAAAAAAACTGACGAAAATTTTAAACAACAAGATGAACTCATGCATCTATCCTATGAAATGCGTGAAATTCATTGTCGATTAAAAGAATTAAAGAAAGAAAATAATGAATTAAAAATTCTTTTATCACTAACAGGAAAAACACGTCATGAATATGAAACAAAAGTAATTTTTTTAAAATTCTTTTTCTTTTTTGTAAGGCTGTGACTTGAGTGGAAAGGAAAAAATATACAAATGATCAGTATAATGACTGAATAATTATTAGTATTTAATTACAAAAAATGGTTAGTTCATGATATATAATTCGCAGTAAAAAATTCAAATTTGGGTAGTGAACAAATGGATGATTTTGAATGGGTTTTCACTTCATTCATATAAACATCATGCTTAGGTTTAATTTTACAAATAGTCACTTTTCTCTCGCTCTCTGCATGTTCTATTGGATAAATGGCTGCTGTACGTTAAGTTATATGCCTAGCGATTTTTGTAGGCTCAAGGTTTTTTCATACCAGTGATTCTGGTATAGTGCTGGTCTCGGTTCGGTCCCAATTCAGAAAAAATTATTCTAGAATTCATTTGTATCACATTTATAGTAATTCTTCAATACTCGTTTTTCTGATTGATTTATTCAACGACTAGAACTTTTTTAGAACATCTCTCTTGAAGTATGTTCTGATTCATTTGATCTATAGATTAATTTGATTGAAATCATAGAACCTCTTATTATAAGCTTGAATTTCAGTCTTTCACATCTCTATCTACTCCACTGGATTTTGTTTGCATCTTTAATTAGCTGTTATCGTATTTTCTGTACAATTCACATAATATTTTGACCTTTTCTTTGCAATTACTACTTCCGCTCCGTCCAAATTATCAAATGTAACCTTATCAACCTAATTTCGGGGTCACCATGGATGAGTAGCTGCGTTGTTTGATACATATTCCAAGGTACTGTGCTCAAATGCCAATATCACTACCTGTGGAACGACCCTGACCAAGTCACTAACGACTAGTTGTCACGTATCACTTATCCGATAGTATGCTAACTACGTTATGACATACACCTGCTCTTGTTGTTAGTCAGTGCGTATGGGAAACTCAAGCAATTGATCATAAGAACTCTGCATTAGACTGACATTTAGTCTAGAGCTACAGCTAATATTAGTTGTAAGGAAGATGTCAGGTTATTGAATCTGCTGCTAGATAGCATCCTATATCAAAAAGCAGGAATATTCTTTCAATTCAATATATTGATTTTGTTTTTATTTTTGACAAGATCTTTCCTTTTCATTTATTTCATCATTTGCTTTCATAACTTTTTTATGTGTTACATCACTTTCATATTAAGCAACTTGTACCACGTGCATCATTTTTACTCGTAGACTCTAAGCTGAAGCCGAAGAAAAGAATAGAAGCAAAGAATACATACATGTATACCCTACATAACATCTGTACTACATGGTATACGGGCACAAAGAAAAAAAACAATGAATCGTATTATAACATATTTCAATTTCTATATTTACCCATTCAATTAACTGATCTTTAGTAAATATTATTTAATGATCTTTAAATCTCTTAACAAATCTGATTCATCACTAACTAACCATTTAAGTAATTTACTGATTTTATAATTATTTAACTGATTGACCAAATATTTTGTTCTACTTTTTTTTTAAGAATCGTAATCAATAAATTTCTTTTTAATGTATTTAGATTGAAGATTTAGAAAAACATTATAGTGAATGTTTATCCAAACTTCATAAATCTCAACAAGAAATAAATTCTTTACAAAAAGATATTCTTCCAAGTTCTCCTTCATCACCTATGTTGGATAGTAATTCTGATCAACAACATACAATTTTTCTATCACCAATAGAATATGCAAATTTTATGAGTCTTGAAAATTCACTTAAATCCGAACTTGAAGAAGTACGTGAAGATCCGAATCAACTTTGTCATTCAACAATAAATACAAATAAAAAACATTCTCGTCGTCGAACTAAATGTGGTCAATGTGATACTGATTGTGAATCATCAATAAGTGATTCAGCATTTAGTGATACTGAAAGTTTAAGCAGGTAAAATTTCGATGAAAATTTGTATATATTTATCAATTCTTCTAACTTGTAGTAACTCATCATGTCGTTTTCGTCAGCGATCTTCACCTATTCCAATAGATGAATCCAAGTAATTATAAAATTTTTATAAGAATTCAAATTTCTATTGAGAATTTAGATCAATATCATCAATAAGTGATAGAAGATTACCAGCAGGAATTTCATCTCGATTAAGACTTGTTAAACGATTAGAAGGTAAAAAGTTGTCTTTTTTTGTTTGATTTTGATGACAATAATGTTTTTTTTTAGGATCAAATATGTTAAAACGATGGCAAGAATTAGCCGAACCGAGTTTATCTTCATGTCTTCAATCTATACCCGGTGTATATACACGTGCTGAAATTTTACATGACGTTAATGAAGAAAATGAAGAAGATTTAATAACACCACAAAATGAATCAGAAGGTTACAAAAAAAATTTGATCTCAATTATTTTGTGAAACACGATCTAAGAGAAGTGTTGAATAGGACTTTGCGTGGTATCAGATAAAAGTCTTTTACAACAATCTTTTTTTATTAAGAGCAACCTAACCGTTTCGAAATAGATGTCTTTCTCGCCGAAATCTGAATTTAGTTAAGATAAAATTTTGAAATAAAAAAAATGAAATGGTGAAAAATTTGGTAGTATTAATGGAAACGAGAGAATGTGTTCAGAGTTCTTTTTTTGATATTTGACGAGCGTGAAGTCTCAGGTGATGGAACAGAAAATTTATCATCTCATGTCCCGCGAAGCCCTGATGCAGAAATATATCGAGTAGGAATTTACACTCCTTACAGGCCGTGACAGACGTGGTTGGTATACGATCGCAGATCTTATATAAATAACAGCTCGGTACAATATATCAAATACTTCCTCATTGTATGTCTGGAGGATTTAGTAAAAGAAGGGTGAAGTAATGTATTTCAAGATAGACAGAATAAAGCAATGTCTCTGTGATTAGTAACAGCAGTTACATCTTGCTTTCGCATTGTAATCCCGTAGGAATAGCGCTAACAATTTCTTAAAAAGTATTATTCATTTAGATCGATTATCAATTAGTCTTGAGAAATATTCACCTGAAACGCCAATGGATTTTCAGTAAGAATTTCTTTTCTTTAATTTTGTATATCATAAATAAATTTTAGTGAATCAACACGTCGAATGAATCTTGTTGAATTATTGACAAAAAAGGGAATAACTGCACGTACACTTGATTCCGCAAACTCATTTTTTGAATTTGAAAAAGCTTTTTTAACATGTCCATTACCAAATCGTCTTCCAAAATGTACAACTACAATTATTCCTGATCCTGATGATACTGATGATGATGATGATGATGATGAACCCACAACTCCACCATCTTCACCAACACATGGTGCTCAATCACAAACAAATGCGATCCTTCATCAAGTCATCGAACGTTTAGTTAAATTATCATTAAATACATTTAAAACATTTTCAACATCAGTTACGTCATCAAATGATCAATATCAAATAGAAAATAATGAAGAAAAACAACAATTACGTACAATAGCCACAATAACTCCACTGTCGTCACCAACATTCGATGGACTTGTTTCACCAACACCAAATACAGCAATGCATGCGATGAAAACAAGTACATTTCTACGTGCATCATCATTAAATCCATATATAAATAGATCAATTCGTAATGTATTTACTACTTTATCACCTGGCGAAACACCATTGATTGTTGATGATCTTATTCGAAGTCATCTTCGACGAGTATAAACCAAGAGAAGATATTTCATGATTTTGGTCACTTGTTTTTTATTTCGGCTCATTTTTGCATTGATCAATCAAACTTTTGTGTTTATTAATGTTGTATATTTATTTTGCTTAAGATCTGAATTTTTTGCTTTTGGTAATATTGATATTTAGAGTTAACCTGTGCTGTGTATAGTGTTTTGTTTCAATTTTTCTTTCATTCACAGTTACGGTCATTATTGTTTTGATTTCTTTGTTTTTTCGACTACAATTTTTTTTGACAAAACTATTTGACTATGTACGCTTTTTGTATGTGTTGCCTACTGTTGATAAATCGAAGCAAGATATGTTAAAATAAATGATACCGTAGATCAAAAAAAAAGGTAAATTATGATTTCACTCAAATTCAGGAGTTCATGATTCCATTGATGACTAAAGAAAGGATGCCGTAGAATCGGGAAAAATTAAAAGTCGAACAAGAAATTGGTTGTTTTCACTTGAATTATACAAATAATGATTAGTTATTTTCAAAAATAGACAATAAAAGTTATTGATTACTTCAAAAAAAAAATATCAGTGACTCAACGCAAGTTTTGATATGAATAGCTTAATAATTAAAGACATCACGATTGTTTAAAGCCTCGTCTTTTTGGTAACAAAAGCATTGAAATATGTCTAGTAGCTGTAGATGCATTTAGAAGACATTTTATGGCTGTCTGAAACGATTGATATTTCTATTCATGCTGAAGCAGTAAATAAGAAACTATTCGATAATAAATTTATAAAGTTTGAATAGGAATTCTTTCCGAAAATAGATTTTTTAAGAATTGAAGTATAATAAGCAGAGCATTTTCGTTCTTACTTATTTGCTATATTGTCATACTACTTTCGTATATTATTCTACGAAAAGTTATCCAAAATTGGATATTCAATACCATGCTAGAAATATTTAGGTACTCAAAGTAGTCCAACTTGGGTTCGAAAATCATCTTTTTGATTAAAGTCATTTTCTATATAAACAAACATCACACTTTGCTTTTTCATGTATAAGATAGATCTTCGATACGTATTTTGTTTTTTCTGCTATACATGAATTCGACGTAAATAGATAATCATATAACTTACGTATATTGAAAAACAAGACAAAACAAATTGCGTTGTTAAGATTTCAACAATTGTAGATGAAAAAAAATTGGTTTATAAAACATTCAATTTTTAAATGAAATAATATTCCCGCTTTTTTCTAAATTAATATTTAAAATAATAATTGAGCATATTGTACTTCTTTGAAAATGTTCAAGAAATGACGAAATGATAATAATAAGAATATTAAACATTTATTAGGTATATATCAGATAATGGAAAGATTCAAGAGAAATTAATAAATTTGAGAAAATTTATTTCATTTGATAATAAAACTGAACATTTAACAATAACAAGAAGAAATCTAGAATAAATTGATATCGTTTATATTAATCAATATTATCCCAAACATACTAGTACGTTGTTCTTGTTCTAAAACATATTAGAAAAAACATTATACCACAAGTGAAATAGATATTCTAAGAAAAAAAAGAAGAACGTTATTCATTCAATCAAATCATTCGTTTTTGCTAACAACAAAGTTGAGTGATTATTTATAAATGAACAACCCTGTTTTTGATCCAGAAAATTTGTGATTTTTAATTAATGAAGTTTAAAGATAGGATATAATTCTTATTTTCTAACAAAAGCTTTATTATGAGACTTTTTTATCGTTCTGACAGCAAGATAATATCGCCATAAAAGATATTTGAAGTTTTTGGCTGTAACAAATTGCTACATAAAAACCTCAGAATGACTGATTGTGTCACAAGTTAAAGTCACTGTCAAGGACTATACTTTTTTTGTTTTTGGTGGGACGATTTGTGTTAGTGCTATCGTACTCCGTTGGCGGATTATTAGAGTAAGGGGCAGAACATGGACAAAATATTTCGTTGTTAACGTTTTATTTCATTAGTCTTTTTGAAATTATTTCCAACTTAGGTAAATGATAAGAATCAATCAGAAACGAAATGTTACGTTTGTATATAGGTACTTTGTTTATATATGCGTATTGTATTGGTATCATTTATTTTATTTTTTGAATTGATATAAATACGATGTGTACTGTACCTATAAATAGTTTATTAGATGCTCAATCATATTTATAATTAAGTTCAGTTTGTAATGCCTTCAGAACACTCCGATTGTCTTTTTTCTGAAGAAGGAAAAACTCACATTACATATCGTAGATTAATTGTTCGTTAATGACTTTTTTATTAATAAAACCAAAATGTAATGGCTAAATAAATCATGACATTAAGCTTATTAAAGACGTTTTTTGCGAAAATCAAGGTATTATAGTTATCAAAGAAAAGTCACTTTATTCTGTTTTGTGATTTTTGGAAAATTTTCTTGTACAACTACATACATTCAACGTTTACATTAGTTTGAATTTTGACTTAAGAAGGTATATTAATTCAATAAATGTTTTATATTAAATGCACGTTTGTGTTTCTTTAATTGATAAGTGTCTAATAATATCGGAAAATCTAAGATTTAAAAGCAATAACTTCAAAATGACAGATATATTTAAAAAGTGAGAAATATTAGTTTAACTTGAAAATAATTTTTTGATAGTCGAAATGAGTTAAACATAATCTGGTACACCGCAACGTGTCTCATTTAGTTACGTTTAGTTTTTAAAAATAGAAGTTTTTTGAATCTTTGAGATTCAAAATAATTAAAGTAAACAAGCAACGTGATCTAGAATCAGCTTTTTAAGGAGACGATAAAATGCATGATACTTAACAGTGTCCGACATGGATCAATTTTTCGTGATCCAACCCGACCCGAGATCCAAGATATTTTCTGTCAAGAAAAACGAGTTTTTTTCACAGGTTAACAATCTGTTCAGCGTATCTATATAATCTCTCTCAATATTCGAAACAAAGAAACCATTATCTCATCTGAATTGCCGTTTGTCTTATAAAAGGTTCGAAATCGATCAATTGCTAGTAACCCGATCTGAGTCGGACACTGGTTTGTAATTTACCATAAACAACTTATATATTAACATTTGCTGCTTCAAAAACTTCTCCATCTTGCATAACACATGTAATATCATTACCACCTTCTGCTCGAGTCCATTGATCGATTTTAAATTGAATTCCACTATTTTTGTTAACTTCACATTGTTTCAATGAATGACAAATTTATTTGTGTAATTTTAGTGTAAAATTTTTCATTCGTTGTCTATATAAATTCAAGCATTTTTCAAGAATATCTTCATTCATTAGTGGTTTAGCCATAAATGATTCTGATGTTTTATCAGGCTAATTTTCCGAAACATCAGTATCAAGTGAAGCTGATGTTAAACGAAAAAAAACAAGCATAGCAGCATGATGTTTATTAAATAGATTTTGAACGTAACAATAAGTAACAGCTGTAGCTGTGCCTAATGCATAAGATAAAGTAGTTTTAACTTGTTTTGCTAAATAATTAAATGATACAACACCAAATATAACCATTCGACGAACAGACATTATCTGAAAACAGAATAAAAGATATTTTTATTGATATTCTGTTAGATTGATTTTATTTATTAGTTTCAATTGTTCTTGTTCTTGTTTTTNTTTGTTCAACTAAATTTTCAAAAGATGAGACAAACCATTCTTCTTGTTCTTATAATCGTTGTAATTTTCCATTCATACGTACTAGAGATGTGCACTTTGCCCAAAAAATGTCGCTCGGGTGGCGGTATGAGGGATCTAAGCCTTATGAAAGCGGCGGCGACGGCGGTCACCGTACCAAAAGGCTTTTTCTTTTTTTTTCACAGATTTACTATATCAATGTTTTTCGAACAAATCGTGCCTAATGTTCAGAATTTGCGTACGAATGGCAGATTAATATTGATAAAACTATAGAAGTTTATTAATTCAACAAAATAAAAATTCATAATCATACACGCAGATTGTATCGGTTGCATCTTAATTATTTCTACCTTTCGATTGAGGGAACTCAAATTTAAGATGACGTTGAATTTTAAGCTCGTTCCTGTGCAATACAATAAATTTTGAGAGAGACCGATCTAGCATGCGATCAGTTCATAATAGGCATGAAATGCGATATATTTTATAGATTTAGTCAACGAATATCAAAATAAATTAAATAAATTAATGAACTATCGTAGAGAATGAACCTGCTGATGAATTCATTGAACTTTTCTATATTTGTGCCCAGAACTTCATTTTTTTAAATTGCTCATTTAGGTCTTTAAAAAAATAATTACTTTCAATAAGTAACATAAAACCAAATGCGAATTAGGAAATGGCACATTTTTATTGAAAATATTGGTTCATATATATCGTAGGTGAACCTCGTCAGATTGATCTTAGCACAGAAAGTAAGTATTTAAAAATACAGTCAAGGAAAACTTTCAGCAAGGGCAATTCTTTCATTTTTTCTAAAAGACTAAATTAAATATGTGTTCAGAAGACAACATAACAACACCATGAAACATGATATTTGCTAGTCTCTTCGTTACACACCCTACATAAATAAATTGTTGACTGCCGTTTTTAATTTCTTTAGTATTGTTTATTGTTATATTTCTGTACCACCTTTGTAGTATATCTAACTCTTTGGTCTCCACTCTATATAGGAATATGTTGGCCCACTAATTATTCCATTAAAAATTTGCTCTCATATTCATTTATTCATTGTTCCTTCCACTTACAATGTCCATTATATCTTCTATCTCTCATAATATATAAAGAAAAGTATTCTATCAGTATTATTTTCTAGCTTAATTAATTAAACTTTAATTTCTCGATAATTAAAAACAATTAGTAATATCATTTTTATAAAAAGCATTTTCTTTTTTGAGAATGAGTAGTAAGTCGACGTCTGATTGTTTATCATTTTTGATATGATAGAAAAATATAGGACGCAGAGACCGAAATCGAACCGTCCTTTTTAAAACGAAGTCGAACTGAATCAAACTCAACCAATTTGCGAAAAGCGAATGAATATAAAAAGCACATCAGAAAAAAAGATTAACTGACGTACAGTCTTTTTGTGAAATTGTGATCGTATGTGCGATTACCTAATGACGTTTTATCAATTGCTCTACATCAGAGATTAGGCGTGATCACTTTGCATTGACAAAACTTTGTTAAATCCAGAAATAAAATATTAAAGATTTGAGTTTATTTTAAATTTAAATTGCATTTATATAAATTTAAAAGAAAAAAATTTAATTAATGAAAAATAATGTAAATTACTTCTAAATATGTTTAAAGTATTTCAAGTTTCATTTTAATTAGTTTAAGTTAAGTTTATATTTGTATGGTTGTCTCTAACAAAAAAAAAGAACTTTTTGCACTCAGATCTCTTATTAAAGAGATGGATATGCCTTTTGTAGTATCTTTAGAAAATAACAGGAACAGAGCGCAACTGTTCTCTTAAAGAATCTTCTATAATAACGATAGAACTTTAACGTATAATCACAATTTTTCTCCTTATTTCTGATCGATTTTCTTTGAAGCCAAGTATTTTGAGCACTGAGCTGATGAATTTAATTTTACAAAAATCACTAAATGCATAAGTTCTAAAAGATTTATATCTATAATGCATTCAAATTTACTCAACATAAAAATTTAAATTAATTGTAAATTAAAATTTTAGTATTCGAAAAATTTTAATTTATTGAAATTTATATCGGTAAGAGTTTAAACTGAAAATAAATTTACAAGAAATTGTTGTCTATAAGGGATCAAAAATGGACTGAACCGAACGCAAACCCGTAAAAGTCGGTTCAATTCGGTCTCTGATAGGAATTTTGTCTCTCTGGATCAAAAAGGACTTCACTTTTCCAGTTTCAACTTCAACAAATTGTAACTGTTAATTTTATCACACTGTGAATGCCAGTCCACCCCGAGCTAAAATTTTCCAAAGCGGGGCGGCCACACAATTATGAGTCATGCTTGTCATTATGGTGCAGACAGACCGCGCGCGTTCACCGCCCGCCTTCACCCCCACGCGAGCGGTGCACGTCTCTGATACCAACAGAAAAGGCTGCTGTGACACGGATGATAGCTCTTTATAGCCTCGTCGATGGTTACTGAGAGTCCTTATGAATTCCATAGAATTCCAGAGAATTCTATGGAATTATGCGGAATCCTAGGAGACTTCATGGGATTCTGTGAAATTCGAGGGAATCCTAGAAATATAGGGAATTCTGAATTCCAGGATTCTGCTATTCATCCCTTGCATAGATATGATCGATTAATTGATAGGAATCGAAAATTTTCGACTATCCCTTATTTTACACTAACATTCTTTTTCTTTTTGAGTTTTCAATAAATCTCTAGAGAAATTTCAGTGCAACAAGTATTTAATAAGCATCGACTGTTAAAACCTTATGCGGAGAAGTCGATAATCGTATGAAGTAAAAAAAAGAACTATTTCGTTGCCTGATTTGTTGAAGTCGAAGTCTAATTCTATATTTTGAAGATTTAAGTAATAATAAGTTTTCTGTGTTTAGTCGGATATTAAAGTACAAAAAAACTTATCGGTTATTTATTTAAATGAAACCCGTTGTATTTAATCATATTGAGTATTTTACCAACCATACAATATATACAATGAGTATGGTTTCAATGAATATCCTTTATAGATGATTGTTTTCATCTATTTGACAAATCTCCAGATTTTTATATTTATTTGATGCGTTTAACTTTCTAACCTTGGTGTTACTAAATGAATTGCTATCGTATAAAAAAATGTACTGCTTAGAATGATATGTAAAGAAAAAACGAAAAACAAAACAAGAGTAAAGCATAAAGCAAAAAATGAACTAATATGATAAAAAATAATAGGCAAACAAACAATTTCAAGAGAAGAACAACTGATTTCACTAAAATGTCTTCGTAAATTCAGTATAACATCATCTATAATATCTTCCACGTTGATAAATGCTATAGAATCTGATGAGTTATGCTTTCATAACCAATTTAAGATACGCCCTAGTACATCAATATGTAAAGCGAATCGATCTTTTCCTTACTGGTTGCGCGGAACGATTAACACATAACCGTCCAATGACATAACAGATCTTTTAAGATATTTCCTCTAACATGAGGTTCGGTTAATGCAAAAATCGAGCAAAATCTTGATTTAGTTGAATTATACATCATTGGATAAAGCTCGTGACGCTGATTACAGATATAGAGCTTTTAATATTTCAGAGCTTATTTTAAGCAAAAAATTTAAGAAGAAACAGAGAGTCTCCAGAAAGAACAAAAATAGCCATTGCTCTAGAAAATTAAGCATTACTCTAACTTACACTGACGATTGTTTGCTGAAACAACTTTATTCGAATTCAGCGTAAAAACTGTGGTAATCACATGAGTTTAACGAAATTTACTCAATGTAGTCCGATTTGAATGGCTTCACAAGGTTCACTTTTGATCAGATTGATACATAGGTCTTGCAAATTTATCTCCTTTTTTTTGACAAGAGCTAAAACTATCTTGCGTATAGGATTCGAACCGTCAGGTCAATAGGAAAACCATTACGTATGGTCTTCACTTAATTCCTTAGCATTGTTGAGTAGACTCACTTTTCCCATCCAGATGGCAAAATGGCCAAATATTAGCGCTATACTTCTAAATCTTTTCGTGAAACACATTACCTTTCGATCGAATGAGTATGATATTCGGAATCAACATCAAAAATTGCGTCGAATAATCTATATTTCGTCAAAAACAAATGTACCATCAAAATTTGACCTGTACTCTCCTTCAAGGCAAAATTGACTAAAACAGAAGTTGAGGAGGGACACAGGCTAGACTTTGATGATAAATTGTATTTGACAAAATATAGGTTATTTGACGCATTTTTTTTTATGTTGATTCTGAATATCATACTCATTCGATCAAAAAGTGAAGCGTTTCTCCAAAAGATTCCAAAGTATACCCCTAATATTTGACCCTTTTGCCATCTGGATGGGAAAAATGAGTTTACTCAACAATGCTAAGGAATTAAGTGAAGAGCATACGTAATTTTTTTCCTATTGACCTGACGATTCGAATTCTATACGAAAGATAGTTTTAGTTCTTGTCAAAAAAAGGAGATAAATTTTCAAGACCTATGTATCAATCTGATCAAAAGTGAACCTTGTGAAGCCATTCAAATCGGACTGCATTGAGTAAATTTCGTCAAACTCATGTGGGTTACCACAGTTTTTTATGCTGAATTCGAATAAAATCATTTCAGCAAACAATCGTCAGTGTAAGTTAGAGTAATGTTTGATTTTCTAGAGAAATAACTATTTTTGTTCTTTCTGGAGGCTCTTTGTTTCTTCTTAATTTTTTTTCCTTAAAATAAGTTCTGAAATATTAAAAGCTATATATCTGTAATCAGCGTCACGAGCTTTATTCAATGATGTATAATTCAACTAAATCAAGATTTTGCTCGATTTTTGCGTTAGCCGCACCCTACATAACATAGACTATCGATTAAACTTTCATCGTAGGAGAAT